GTACTCAACACAACTGCCAGATGAACTGGACTACAATATATTGAAGCAGCTTGAAGAGATAATTGGCGAAAATGATAGAAAGACTTGTGAGCAGAAATTGGTTGACGCCTATGATAATGATGATACAGGGCTCAATCATATCAGAGAATCTGTCTATGATGTAGCTAAAGCAGAGTGTGGAGACTTTCCAGAGGGCATTTTGATTAAGAGAGTCAATAGAAGTGGTCAAACTAAAAGCGTAGCAGAAAAATATGCATCTGATGTGTATCTGCTCTATAAGTTTGTTAAAGGTGCTATTCCAGCTCATGTGATTCAGACTGATGTCTTAAGTAGACCAAAGCAAGCCTGTATGAAGCCTACTACTGATGTAGCTATGGAAAAGGACAAGGACATATTGTCAAGTGTATTGGCGAAACTAATGTTCTTGCATGAAGATGTGAACAAGAAGTTTGACAGTGTGCGCAGACAACTGGATCAATTTCAAGACAAATATGACAGAGATATGTTACAGTTAATCAGTGCATATGATGAAAAGAGCGATGAAGTGAAAAGGTGTACGGTTGTGATTCAGACACTTCGTTCAAATGAACAGTCAATGAAGACGGACTTAATTCAATTACGTAATCAACTCAAACAGAAAGAGACTGAGTTACTTGAATTGAGAGGAAATGTGAAAGAAACAATTATATCTATTGACAAGAATGTGCGCGTTGTCGATGGAAAAATAGATTGCATGAACACGAGAAACAAACTTTTATATTCGAAGACTGTTACGAAGGGAAGCCCAAATTCCAACAGACCTATTTCCCCACCCATTCAAAGGACCGATTACACGAGTATAGACTCTCGTCAATTCCCAAGCCTCCCATTCAGACCTCAGACTCATGACAATGCAGGCAGTAAAGACCCAAGCTCTGAAGACACTTCCCCCGAGCCGCTCATTGTCAAGCATGATGGCGTCGACAGACAAAAGCAAACTAAACCTGTAAACAATGTAAAGGAGACAAGAAATGTTACATTCAACAATCAGTGGGAAAAGTCTTTTGCCGGTGTCTATAGAAATAGAAACAAAAGACTGGTCCTAAGCTATGTCAGAGCTGACGAACCATTTGACGTTGTTAAAGATGCTATATGTGACTATGCTAAGAAACGTGATGTAACTATCACAAATGTGAGACTCATGAAACACTGGGAAGGGCGACGCAATCCTACCTTCACCATTCGAATAACTGTCCCACAGCAATGTGCAGATATCATCTTGGATGATGACTGCTTCTGGCCCGAAAACGTTAACTGTCGTGAGTGGCTACCGAATAATGTGTGGTACAATGACGATAAGGCTGTTTATTAATTATGTTGATGAACAATTTTAGGCTTGCGACATATATACTTGTTCTAATGGCAATCTTTCGCATGATTACGTGGAATGTGCGTGGGGCATTGAATTGCTTAGATGAAATTCGCTCAAAACTAATGAGCTGTGACATTTTGGTTATTACCGAACACTGGCTGGACGACACACGTGAATATGTACTCTATGACTTGGATGATGACTTTAACGTCTATGTTAAATGTCAGCATGACCACTTATCTCAAAGAGGCGCAGGGGGTATAGCCATATTTATTCGTAAAAGTACATGTCGGAGGTCGTCAGCAATTAGTATACCTTCAAGCGAGCATATCATTGGGGCTAAACTCTTCATTAATAAATGCCCTATGTATATCTAACGTATTAGATAGTGTTTACATAGAAGAACTTAATAATGTACTGGAGATTTATGATGGATGTTCTCATCAAGGGGAGACAATTCTTCTGGGTGATTTTAATGCAGACCTGCGGCATGGAATTATATTGAAACGCAGAGCGAAATATCTGCAAAGAGTGCTCACAGAACGGAATCTAATCTCTGTCGTACCCCTTGACGATAATGCCTTTTTTACCTTCACAAGTAAATGTAAAACTATAAGAAGTATGATAGATTATGTGTTCATTAATCGCCAACATGTTAGTAACGTTGTTGGTTATACTTTAGATACTGGTGTTCAATACTCAGTATCAGACCATTGTCCGATATTCCTATGTCTGAGTACTGATTCCCAGCCACGCCACTATGACGATGAACATCTAAACTGGCGTAAAGCTAATGACGTAGACTTTATGTTATACCGATATGAAATTGAAAACTATTTTAGATGTGCTCAGTTTGACGAAACTCAGTACGCATCTCCTCATGAATACATTGAAAGTTATCACGACTATATCCTACAAGCGTTACATGCTGCAGCTAAACTAAGTATACCATCTTCAAAATTCCAATCTCATTTAAAACCATACTGGAAAAAAGATAATTTAAATACGTTGCATCGTACAATGCGACAACGTCGTAGTGAATGGATCTATAATGGTAAATCTCATGATAAAGAGGATGCAAATTACATTGAGTATAAAAGAGCAAAACGTATCTTTAGGAAGCAGCATCGCCGTTCCAAACAAAAACTGAAAGACGAAAAGTTTCAGGAAATATATGAAGCAGCTGAGGTTGATATAACAGAGTACTTTAGAGTTACCAAGAAATATAAAAGAAAGAAGGAACAAACCCAGACGCTTGTGTATAATGAAGAGTCCTGTAATACACAAGAAGGAATTTGTAATCTGTTTTCCAAATATTTCAAGGATCTATCAATGCCAAATCATGATATCAATTTTGACTCAGATTTTACTGATTATGTGAATATTCGCATGGAACAGATTGAAAATAACTCGTATAATGACCAAGGGAACAGTGATGTTAGTTCCACGTTGATTTGTCCTTTCACATCTGATGAGTTATTGGCAACTATAAAACGTCTAAAAAGTGGAAAATCGCCTGGTCCCGATGGCATAGTTAATGAACATATCAAATACTCTGGTAGATCTATTATCCATCACCTTGTTATATTGTATAATAAAATTGTTTCTCATGAATATGTACCTAAAATGTTTAACGTTGGAAAGATTTTACCTATCCATAAAGGCCATGGTAAACGTAAAGACGACCCCACTAACTACAGAGGTATTACCCTCACTCCAGTATTAAGTAAACTGTTCGAAAGACTTCTGCTGAATAGAATTGAAGAGTGGGCAAACAAATCTAAAGGCTTCCCCCATCCCTTTCAATTTGGATTTAGGAGAGGGGCTGGGGCAGAAACTGCCCTGTTTACATTAATGGAAAGCATAGCTTATTATAACGAAAGACAGTCTCCAGTTTACTGCGCTTTTCTCGACAACGAGAAAGCTTTTGACAGAGTGTGGCTTAATGGTCTTTTCTTCAAACTGTATAACTTTGGTATTAATGGAAAATTATGGCGACTTTTACGCACAATATATACCTCAATGCAGTCATGTGTAAGCATTGGAGCTTTTACCTCAAATGTGTTTCATGTTAAGCAAGGTGTTGGTCAAGGTCGCGTTTTATCAGCATGGTTTTTTACTCTATATATTAACGACTTGTTGTATTCACTTGATGATTTAGGGCGTGGCTTGTGTCTTCCATGGCGTAATACACCCGGCATCCTATTAGCAGACGATACTATGCTGTTGAGCAGCTCCTCTGACGGACTGCAATGTCTACTGAATAATATATACACCTATGCTAATAGATGGCATTTGAAATAAAATGCCAGTAAAAGTGCATTTCTACTGTTTGGGAATATTCGCAAATCTGTCTCTCAATGTGTCTACATTGGTTCCCAAGTACTTCCTAAAAAGGAAAATGTAACTTATGCTGGATTGCTTCTAAGTACATCAAAGAAAACCTTAGAACGTACCCATCTTATATGTGAAAAACTCAGAATGTTAGTCAATATAAATTATAATCATGGACTATACTTTGGTGGCTTAAATCCTATCCCAGCTGTTCGTATATGGGAAAGGGTAATAATACCATGTGGACTATTTGCTTGTAGTGTATGGGGTAAACTGTCACCGAAGGAATACGAAATGCTTGAAATTATTCAACGTTATTTTTGTAAAAAGATTCAAGGACTGTCTAGACGCACTCCTTCCGTCGTCACCAGAGATTGTCTGGGTTTAATTTCTCTCCAGGCGTACATTGATCAACGAGCTCTCTTATTTCTGGGAAGACTATGTAATAGTGACATTAACTTTGCATTTAAAAGACTATTTCAGCACAGACTTGTTCAGTTTGAACTCGATACAATTAAAGAAAAAGATGATAAATGTAAAATGTCACCCGTGTACCACATGCTTTCACTTGTAAACAAGTATGAACTCAATAATGACATAAACACATATACCATTTATTCTCATTTCCCCTCAAAACATGCATGGGCGAGTCGAGTTAAAGAACAAATAAGCGTATGTGACCATAACATAATTCATGCAGAGATTCATTCAAGAGAAAACCTAAAACGATACTCTCTTATACGATCACCTAAGGTACACAGACTTTGGTTACTAACAATTGAAAGGCCGGAACACTTCTATGATTTAGCATATTTATTATGTCTTAGCACCTACAGTATACAATCTGATGAATGTCTATGCGGCACATTTGCTTTTGATATTATCAAACATGTGTTTATGTATTGTAAAAAGACTCAACAACAAAGAAATATTCTTGTTGAGTCTCTTATTGATTTACTAGATGTGACAACTTTTTCTAGTATCTGGAACGATGATGACGATACCTTTCTGTCCTTTTTACTTGGCGGTTTGCCAACAGAAAGTACTATGGCAATTGAATACAATCTATGGGCAAAACTCCAGAATGTCCATATCAAAGACAAACTTCGAACAGAATATAAACGTAGACTTAAGTTAATCGTATTCGTATTCTTAATCTTATTCTTTGCAATAAAGGTAAGTATTTTTCCATTTCCAGATGAAAAGCTCCAGCACACCCGAAAAAAAGACTTTTATATTTCTCGTAGTGTCAGTCGCTGGTTTGTTGGTATCCTTCATGTTAGGAAGAAAGTCAATGTCTCCTGGCGTGACAAAGATGGCCCCGATGGAAGGGAAGGTCAACATCTCCACGACGGCCGAAATGCTTATCCATCTTGAGTCTGCTGACGCAGTATCCGGATCTGCCTTCACTTCGGATTCGTTGAACTCAACATCAAACGTCAGGTCAGGTTTCCCTCGTAATACCATACGTGTTGAGAAGAATACAACTAAACTGATACTGTGGTATTTGCGACCAAATTATGTCGTACCCACCCATGAAGGAGAGGTACGTCCCTTGAAGAACTGTCCACATTTGAACTGTCGGGAAACAACGGACGTGAAACTGATATCTCGAGCAGATGCAGTTGTATTTGATGTTCATTTTAAAATCCGACCTGACAATAAACCGATCAGATACCCAGAGCAGACATGGGTATTTTTCGCCCAAGAATCCTCAGTTCACGTCAAGTCAAGATTGTACAGAATGGACAAATGGAAGTCTTCCTTTAACTGGACATGCACCTACAGGCGAGATTCCGATGTATGGATGCCATACGGAATTATCCTTAAAAATCCGAAACTGACCAAAAAGGATTACCGTAAAATAGCTGAGAGTAAAACTAAAATGGCCGGTTGGGTCGTGAGCCACTGTTCTTGTCAGAGCAAGCGTGACGTGTTTGCCAAGCGACTGGTAGAGCAAGGTATTCAAGTAGATATATTTGGAGACTGTGGAAAGAAATGCGGGAACAGAAGTAAAGATGGAACAGAAACCTGCGAAGACTTGGCGTCCAGCAATTATTCATTTTATCTCTCATTTGAAAACTCTCTGTGTGACGACTACATTACCGAAAAGTTTTTCCACATGTATAACAAAGATGTGATTCTTATAGCACGAGGGGGGCGCCAGTTTTTAAAAAGTCTCCCGAAAGGAACGTTTATAAATACGGATGACTATAAAAATGTGAAAGATCTGGCAGCATACTTGAAACGGCTACACGAAAATAAAAATGAATACATCAGCATTTTAAAAAGGAAGGATGAGTATATGACCGTAGATGAAACATATACCTACAGCCCTATTCCAACATTTATATACACACATACCCGGTATATATCAGAACCTGTGTGTGACATGTGCAGAAAACTATTAGACATTGACAATAATAGGAACACATATCCCGATATATACCAGTGGTATAACGAGAATACTTGTGTTGAACCAACTGACCTGTAGTTGCATGCACGAGCGGAGGTTGAAATTTAAATATTAACTGTGATCTGTCCAGGTGGTATGTCGTCTTACTTAAAATGCAAAAGTACAGCTGTACTGAACCACTTCTGAACTCTACCTCTGCTCTAGGCATCAAACCGAAGGCATGTTTTCAGTTTCAAATCAAATCATCTCAATAAGGATATCATCAAAAATTCTGGCAATCCAGAAGTCTACAGTGAATGGTCTGCCAGACATACCATCAGAAGTCTACAGTGATTGGTCTGCCGGACATACCACCAGAAGTCGACAGTGAATGATCTGCCAGACATACCATCAGAAGTCTACAGTGAATGGTCTGCCAGACATACCATCAGAAGTCTACAGTGAATGGTCTGCCAGACATACCATCAGAAGTCTACAGTGAATGGTCTGCCAGACATACCATCAGAAGTCTACAGTGAATGGTCTGCCAGACATACCATCAGAAGTCTACAGTGAATGGTCTGCCAGGCATACCATCAGAAGTCTACAGTGAATGATCTGCCAGACATACCATCAGAAGTCTACAGTGAATGGTCTGCCAGGCACACCATCAGAAGTCTACAGTGAATGGTCTGCCAGATATACCATCAGAAGTCTACAGTGATTGGTCTGCCAGACATACCATCAGAAGTCTACAGTGAATGGTCTGCCGGACATACCATCAGAAGTCTACAGTGAATGGTCTGCCAGGCATAACATCAGAAGTCTACAGTGAATGGTCTGCCAGACATACCATCAGAAGTCTACAGTGAATGGTCTGCCAGACATACCATCAGAAGTCTACAGTGAATGGTCTGCCGGACATACCATCAGAAGTCTACAGTGAATGGTCTGCCGGACATACCATCAGAAGTCTACAGTGAATGGTCTGCCGGACATACCATCAGAAGTCGACAGTGAATGGTCTGCCAGGCATACCCTCAGAAGTCTACAGTGAATGGTCTGCCAGACATACCACCAGAAGTCTACAGTGAATGGTCTGCCAGACATACCATCAGAAGTCTACAGTGAATGGTCTGCCAGACATACCATCAGAAGTCTACAGTGAATGGTCTGCCAGACATACCATCAGAAGTCTACAGTGAATGGTCTGCCAGGCATACCATCAGAAGTCTTCAGTGAATGGTCTGCCAGACATACCATCAGAAGTCTACAGTGAATGGTCTGCCAGGCATACCATCAGAAGTCTACAGTGAATGGTCTGCCAGACATACCATCAGAAGTCTACAGTGAATGGTCTGCCAGGCATACCATCAGAAGCCTTCAGTGAATGGTCTGCCAGACATACCATCAGAAGTCTACAGTGAATGGTCTGCCAGGCATACCATCAGAAGTCTACAGTGAATGGTCTGCCAGACATACCATCAGATGCAACTCTTCCACATAGAACTGATGTTACACTGACCACAGAATTATGTGCATAGTACAGCGATTACAGCTATGAAACTACCTGGGCTTCTTCCGGAAAGACGTGTGGAAATATGAAAACATGTATTTCTCATAACAACATGTTGGTTCTAAACGATCACAAAACTGAAGCCATGACTATTACTCCGTCGTTCAGGATATAAAGATGCAGAAATGATCCCCTTGCTTTTGGTCAGTCAATAATATCTTTCTCTCCAACTGTGAAAATCATTTTGCACTCTTGCCTTACCATGGACGATCATGTGAACTACCTCTGCAAAACATGCTATTCCTATCTGCATAATATAGGTTCAGTCTGCCTTCTTCTAACTTAAGACGCCACTGGCACTCAATTAGGAGATAAACTTACTGTGTTTTGAAATTTGATGTAGTCCCGTTATAAAAATGTATAAATAAGCGGTATCTGCTCTACAGTTGGATTACATCAAACTTCAAAACACAGCTAAACTTACATGTGTAAGTCTTATTAGTTAGTTAGCAATTACCCCCAGTAAATAATACAAAATCAAAATAAATGCCTCTCCATCCCGAACATGGATGTGGCAGAACTTGACCTACATCGCCGTTAATCACACCTCACAATTGTCAATGCCTGACAATGGTGTTGTTTACATTCTCTTTGCCCCAGACAAGTTACACTCCCGATCTATGATGTGCTTCAACAGTAACCTCCAGTTTTCTTCTGGGAATGAGCCTGCTGGTACGATGTGATGTCCAATGGGACTGAACATGACTGAACAACCATTTTTTAGGCTGACAAAAGGAATCTGATTTGATCTGTCAATTTCAAGATTTCACGCATTCTACTCCAGCGTGTTCATGTATAATTTTGTTAATTATGTGTGTTCTTAAATGAATATCGTCAAGTTTGATAAGTTGCTATCATCAAGTTCCCGTGCTGTGCCAGTGATGTCATGGCATTTTGGGCTTTCGAGGGGCAGAATGTTTTCTGATTGAATTTCAAATCCCCTCCTGCCAAATCATTACGGTATTGGTTGACAGAGAAAGCAATGAATATCGACCACAACAAGGCTTGTCAACAACATATTTATGGTCATGAATAAAGTTTCTTCAAACACTTTTTTATGATGTCATATTTTAGTCTCATTGTTTGTTAGTTGTTTCAATGAGGAAATTGCCTGTTCTGAGTCTGTTCACCGTCTAACATGTCCCTAACAGTTTCAAAGACATTTCATTTGTATGCAAAAGATGTGGCTTCGTAAATTCTTGTTATCTCATCATCGAATGAGTCGGGGTTACGGCCTATAGGATCATATCGTCGCCATAAACATCCGATATCAAACTACAGTATTTCCTCAATTAAAAGCTAGACAGTCTATTAATTCTGCGAGAGCCGTTGACTTGGCTTCTAAGAGTTTATTTGTTTTTAACGCCGCACTCAGCAATATTCCAGCTATATGACGGCGCTCTTTAAATAATCGAATCTGGACCAGACAATTCAGTAATTTACATCATGAACATCGATCTACGGATAAGATGACATGCATCAACCAAGTCAGAGATCCTGACCAACCGATCACGTTTTTCGCCGGAGCTTTACAGGTAGCGTGTATTGCAGACATGGTATTAGAGATCCAGCGTGTAACGGAGGAAACATTGATACATTTGACAGTTCCTATCAGCTCAGGGCCCTTGCTACCTCTACACGCAGCCCAGACAGCGAATGGGACTTCTCCCAAGAAGTGCTACTTAGTCGAACCTACCCAGAACCTTTCAGTGAATGTGAAGACTCCCCATAGCGGGCAAACACGCTAATTATACCAGTGAAAAATATTATTCCATAATAATATTTTAAGCTAAGACGAACGTTTCCATCAAACCCATCAGGTTTCATGACTTCTATAACCAAGCAGCCGCGGTTTCCTAGCACCGATAAGATCCGTGTTAGAATAGGTCTTCAGCAACCCATTCTTGTCGCAAGAGTCGACAAACGGATTCAGGTGGTCAGGCTCACTGATTCGGTGGATGCGTGTCTTCGAACCATTTTTCCGAAAATCGATGCTGATGATGTCAATCACAGACCTCTGTTAAATGGCTGGTATATTGCGGAATGCGGCGTTAAACAACAAACGAAAAAACAACTTCAAAATGTAGGATTAGCCACCGGAATCAAGGCTGTAGGTGGTCGAGATCTTGAGATACCTTTAAGGATAAAAGCAATTGGGGGTCATTGCGGAAAATCGCCATTTTGGAAAATGGCCGCCATTGTTGCCATAGGGAAAATCTGCGAGGGCCCTATAACTAAAGGTCTTGCTCTTACAGTGTGCCAAAGCTCATGATTGTATCACCAAAGGCACAATTCATTCACATTCACTATTCATCTTCTTACGGTTAGAAGCATTTACGCATTAGCATTCGACACATTTAAGGATTGACAGTGGATTGTTTTCGTTTTTTCGATTCATACCTTAATGAACCGGTAAAAAACATATTTCGACAACGTAAACATGTGTTATCTACAATAGTTTAACCAAAAACAGTTATATATCAAAGCAGACAAAAATCATGAGATTAATATATATTCCAGGTGTAGGTTAAAAATGAAACCCCCGAAGACATGAAATTTGTGGAACCCAGGCGAGCGGAATATAACAGGCGGGCGAGCCTGCACGTTTGATGTTTCATTCCTTCTTGGTCTTCCGGCTCAAAGGGTAGTTGGGGCGGTCGGGTAGCCTAGTGGTTAAAGTGTTCGCTCATCACGCCGAAGACCCGGGTTCGATTCCCGACATGGGTACAATGTGTGAAGCCCATTTCTGGTGTCCCCCGCCGTGATATTGCTGGAATATTGCTAAAAGGGGCGTAAAACAATATTCACTCACTCACTCACTCACTCAAAGGGTAGTTTGGACAAAGAATATGCATGAATTTCGCTTAATGTCCTGTGCATGACGATACACATGAGCAGAAAGGGAATTCTCGACTGTAATAGGGATTCCCCGACTTTTCGTAGTAATAAACGTAGGTGGGAGTGGCTTACTGTTTTACATTGATTGGGAAATGAATACAGTAACACGTGACCAATTCAGCTAAACAGTATGCAGGAATTAAAATGAACACAACGGAAACTAATTTATTTTGCCTTATACAGATGGTACTCTAGTTTGTCTGCTTGCTTAAAGGCTTGTTAACTTTAACAATATGATATGAGAATGTAAAGACATATTTGCACTTTATATACTAGTATAGATTCGTGTGTTTGTATAAAGACGTGTGTGTTATTACTTACGTCCATATGAAAGATCATACACAATAACTTGTGTTTCAGGCCAATAGTCAAAAATGAAACCAAATCCATCCGACTTTTACTGAGAAAACAATATGTAATATGCTGCTTTTTATTTACAACA